TCTTGTCACTTTTTGGTTCTTCTGAACACAAAATTTTACCACGAAACAAAAGTTTCATAGAAATCCCTTCATATTAGTTGAAAGAATCCTGCGGTAGGAGAAATTTAACTCTTCTATAAAAATCATGAAACTGAAAATGAGACTGTGTGCTGATAATTTGGTGGTCAAAAAAACTTAAAATGTGCATCATGAAACAATAAAAATCAATAAGAAAGGAAACAAAATCGACATAAATTAAAATTGGTTTGAAAACTGCTAAAAACAATTTTCTCATTTTTTTTTCATAAGCCCACGTCTACGAAAAGCATAAAATATATGCAATTTAGATGGAAGGTCGAAGACAAAATGGACAAACAAAAGGGATTATAAACAATTATAAAAAATCATAATGGATTTTTTCTGCAAAATAAATAAGATAGAAATTCGGATGAAAAAATCAATCATAATGTATTCTAATTGATTATATTTGATTCCAAAAAGATAATTATAATCGATTATTAATGGTACTAAAATCATATTATAATCGATTAGTAACGTCTGAAACTGGATGCAGGGAGGGTACAAATTTTGTACAATGGTGGCACATTCCGCAAAAATTAGAAATGTTGGCACATTCCGCAAGTTCGAAAATCGCAAAAGTTTATGATTGAGATGAAATACTCGGCTTCAGCTTCAACTAACTACTGGGCTGGGTGCTAGGTAAAAAAGACGACAAACCATTAAAACGACAAGACATCAAGAGGACAAGTAAGCGTTATTACATGTAAAATGAGCAGTTCGAATTGAAGCGGTTCAAATTTCTCAGAAATACAATGTGGATAATTACGTGTAGCGTCACCTTAAAGTCCAATCAAAAACGGTCGTCGTCTTAACGGCCGGTCACCATTGGGCTACTTCTACAGAGTGTTTCAGCTACTCAATGACACCAAAGGAATCTACATAAAAAGAATGCTGCTTGATAAAAACCCGCATCGGAGTTCCATGAATAATAATCGATTATAATGGAAAAATGTTGTCTAAAATTTTGTCCTTATAATCCATTATTGTGTTAAATTTAGACCGCGTAATCGATTATATTGTCATTGTAATCGATTCTTTTCCTGAAAACGCTTTCCATTAAAATCAATTATAATGCATTATAATCCATTTAAAATCCATTATAATGGATCATAATCTATTTAAAATCCGTTATAAGTGATTATAACGGATTATATTCTATATATTCTTTGCAAAATCATTTGCAAAACTTGCAACATTTCTGCGTTACTCATGGCCTACTCGCAATCGAATAACCCCCCCCCCCCCTTTGCCCATCATCAGTCCGCATTTGCCCAAACCCCCTCCCCCAGTAAACTAAGTTGGAGGGGGGGGGTAATTGAGGAGTGGTAAACTGTGGTGGGGGGAGGGTGTGTAAATTATAAACCCCCCCCTCCCCCAAAGTCTACCATAAGGGGGGGGGGGCGCATGCCAATGGCGGTTGTGGTTGGCAGAGAAGTGTGTGTGTGGGGGGGGGGGGGGGGGTAAACGGGGAGGGGGTGCGGGGGTGTAAAAAGGGAGGAAAACGGTGGGAGGGTGTAAATAGGGAGGAAAACGGGGGGGGGGGGGGGTAAACAGTGAAGGGATAAACGGGGTATATAAGACCAAACTATAAAGATTTAAAAGTTAAATGCAACATTTTATGAAACCTAAAAACCTAATACATAGCAACTGCACTAAGCAGGAAGTGCGATTACTTTGGAAAAAATTGTATATTTTATGACTAATCTCTCGAAAAAATCCATTACAGTCGATTATAATTGATTATATTATTTTGCCTCGAAAACAAACATCTACTTTCAAAATACTCGACTATAATCAATTACAATCGATTATATTCGGATTTTATTGATTAGAAAAGTAGTTTCATTATAATCCATTTTTAATTGATTATAATCGATTACAATCAAAATTTATTGAGACAGACCACAAAAGTTCAATATAATTGATTATTACCAAGGGAACTCCGGTGCGGGAAGCGCTCCAATAAAATGTTCCGGATTAGTCTAGAAGCGCTGATGACCAGTCGTGTTCCTCTCCACCAAAAAAAATCATATCATCGCTAAATCATGATGACGCTGATAATAACGGGAAAATATAATAATAATAATTGGAAAAGATTCATTAACAGAGAGAAAAGGCGTGGCCAAATTGCGATTCAACTGCATAACTCAAAAACTACGATGTTACGTTCCTGGTTCTCGTTGACCTTGGTCTGTGGACCAATGCCGCTGTTGACTTTGTGATTCCAAAAATGTCCCCCTCCGACTTTGTGGATCGAACAACATCAGCTGTCGACAATCATACTCTTAACCTGTTCGCAGTTTATGCCTTACCTTGGCAAATGTGAACTGTTTCGAAAACTGATTTAGTCGTTTTTGATTCAAATACTGTTTTAAGTTTCTTTCATGCTTTCTTTATTGGCTGAAGTGAAACTATTTTTCGTAGTTTTTGATGCAATTAGAATTTCAGGTTTTTTTTAGTTTCATAAAATATTATTTTAAATACGTATTTTTTGTTTTTACACTAAAACGAAGGTTTTCATTCAAGTACAAACCTCCGCAAAAGTTTTCAATTGATACCCCGTGAAGTTTTCATATCATATTGAGGGGATCTCTATGAAACTTTTGCATGGACATTGGTCGACCAAAGCTTCTATTCAACCTTTATAACTTGGGTTAAAACCTCAATCCGCGGTCGACCACCTAAAACCGGAAACAGAGAAAAGCGCTTTCAAACTCTTGATCGCAAAAAATGTATTATCATATTTTCTAGATGATAGACGCCATGTCTTCAGAGGATGCTTGCAAATCCAAAAAAAAACATCAAATTGTTCCAATTCATATCAGATATCATAAACATTGTAAAATCAAAATTGGTTGTGTCAATTGCTCAAATAATGAACGCTTCTTCAAGCAATCTGTTTGTTTGAAATGTAAACCAATCAATATGTGGTAATGAATATGTGGCAATATGTGGCCCTATGTGGCAATGAATACAACTTAACAAAAAATGAATTCATCAAAACTGCTTTAATTCTCGGTTTTTTACTACCATTTCACTGCTAGTTCCAAACCAAAAAAATGTATTCCAAAACTAAATTTTAAATGAAGTAAACAAGTTTTTTCCCCATTTGATTCCATCTGCTGTATGTAGTTCTTATACCTTTGATATTTATAGAAAATTAGGAAGGAAATTATTATTTTCATTCCCTCGAGGTTTTAGGAACCTTCAAGACAGTTTCCGGCAGTCATTCCATCTTCATTTTTTTCTATCCGCAGCTTTGAAATTGCCGCTTCGATCATATGATTTTGCAATAAATTTCAAAACTTTTGATTGTGTTTTCGACCAATTTAATTCCAATAAATTCTGCTCCCTGATATTTAAGTTCAACAATTCTATCATTAAATTTCAATTAGAACGTAAAAATTGAACAAGTTGCATTTGGTTTCAACTAGTTGAGAATAACAATATAAGATAACCGAAAAAGATAAATTAACATCAAGGCTTCTACAACCACAGCAAGTGCTCCGACTTTTAACGCCGACTTTTAAGTTTTAGAAACTTACATTTTTAACCTTCATGTTTTCTCACACATCACAAAAAGTTTTATTTAAATTATATTAAAGCGTCAAGCACTGTTTTAAGACGACCCAATTCCTTGATCACTTCAATTTGATTTGGTTTGCCGCTTATGCTTTTTTTTTGCACGAAATACATTGCGCGTTAATTGTCGCAAGTTGGCCCAATAGAAATTTTCATGTCTAAAATTCAACAAGACTGCTCGTATCTGGGCAAAACCCTGAATGTTTCGACTGCCTTTCAAGGTTTATGCAGCAGTAATAACATTGAAAAATTAAATGTAAGAAAAAAAAATGAAATTTTTTTTTTCTAAAATTTGAAATTTTTCATGAAAATCCCCCCACACGCAATACAAAGTACAAAAGGATAAATTTTGCTCCTTGTAACAAGCCAATTATGGGCAATAAGTTTCTTTTAACCAATTTGGAACGATTTCTAAGACGGTTTAACTCTCCGCTTACGCGTTAATAGCGCGAAATACATCGCGCGTTAATTGTCCCAAATTGGCCAAAATGACAATCTTTAAACCCCCATAATTTTACGAAAAATGATCACAGGTAAAATATCTTTTCAAATTTGAGCTCAAGACAACAATACCTTTTGAATGATATAAAGAGATTCCGTCAAAAATGGCTAGTTAAAAAGTCGAAATTTGTCTGAAGAAAAAAAAACCCACCCCGAGCACAAATATTCCGTTACTTTTGTATCGAAAATCGGAACGAAAATCGGCTGTCAAAAAATACTGACCAAAAAAATTTGTCTGAAAACTAACGTCCGCAGCAAAACATTGTGGAACAAAATTCAAGAATTGAAAATTGACAATGAAATAATTTTGATTCTATAATCCAGGCGATTTTTTTTTCAAATGCGTTTGTTGAAACTGGAAACTAAATTAAAATTAAATTAAGATGGGTAGACATTGAAGTTAAAACTCAGAAGTAAAATTTATTAAAATTAACATTCAATTTGAAGCAGATAAGTAGTAGCTGATATTGCATCGAGGCATTTTGTGTAGAGATTAACAACAACCTTTTTTTATTGCGAGCAATTCTGCGACACAAAACAAGATGCTCAGTGTCGAGATGTGAACGAATTTCGAGATGAAATATCAACTGTTGCTTATCCGGATCAGAACATATATGAAAAATGCGAACAAAACACGCAAATTCGAAACAAAGAATGAGCCAATACATAGTTCTCACTTTCTATTTCGTTTCGTTTGATCGTTCAAATGAAGTACCGTGTTTTATTTTTTAAATTAAGTACGGAAACAAATTGGAAACTTGCGTTATATGCTGAAATTTACAATCAGTAACTTTTAAGTTCAAGGCAAAATTGTTTAATCATTAATTTTCTAAATTTTTAATTATGTTAACCTTGTTTCCCTAAGAATCATTTATGCATTTAGCTTCATTAGATAGTTTATTAGACCATAACTTATATCCCGAAGTGTCATTTATGCCTTTTACTTCATAAGATACAATTCTAAACTAGTCGGCCAAATTAAACGCAAACTTTGGGTTTGAAACTGTTAGATGTCTGTTTTCAATGATGATTTTAGACAATCTTTGCTTTGATCTTTGACCAAGAGCAATTAATCACAGCAAGTTTTCATTGAATTTAAAAAATTTTTCAAGGATTTCCCAGTTTATACTGCGTCTGAAAAAGCCAGTTTTCAGTATCTCAACTTTTTTGCATCAGATAATTCTTTCTTGAATGAGCAGAAAAAACTGTTGATGCGATGCGAAAAATTCTCAGCGAAAAATTGGAATTATTGTGTTAGAATTTTGCCAAATTCAGCAATTTATTACAATTTCTCTTAGGTTATTTAACTTGGTGAGGTCTAGCAAGTCCTGAAAAGAGTTTTGTTAATATCATAGAGAATAGCTCTGATTATTTGCTTTTGGTCTATTAAACAATTTTGTTCAGTTCGAAGAACACGATGTCCAAAACCATCCCACAAAACAAGCATGATACTGAGAAATAATTTTAGTTCCTATGACTTGCAGCAGTGTTATCAATAGACCTTAGCAGATTTGTCTACTGAAGGTCCGGTTTTATTATTTATCACATTCCAGACTGAGCCATTTTTTTTTTTAGCGAAATTCGGTTTTCGGCTCTAGGCAGTTTTGCGTGTAAAACTTTTCTCGTGGTACTACTATTGCAGCCAAAACACATCAAACAGCCAAAATCAAACGCGCAATCAAGTTGTTACTCTCAAAAATGCCTAGTGTTAAGGAAAACTTAAGACAACAATTTGCTGGGATTTTACCAAAGTTTTTGATTGACCGAATGCAAATGATCTGAAATACCCTCTCTGAAAGTTTCCATTTTTCATTTGAATCGCTACCCAGTTTTTAAGTCTGAAAATGCGAACCCCTGCCAACCCAAAGGGTCCCCCCTTTAGTACTTTTTAAGAAATCCATTTTTGGCCGACCGACTCTAAAATTTTTCTAAAGGCGCCTTCGGCGCCAATATATACTAATTTTGAGGGGGACCGCGCGCCAAAAAAAAACGCATTTTTTTGTCAAAATTTTCCAAAAAGTGCCCAAAAACGGCTTTTTTGACCTGTCTTTTCAAAAATTGCCTGCGGCGCAGAAAATTTGGCCAAAACAGGGTCTTTTTACTGCTTTGGGAGAGCTCGGAAAATCAATCTGATCGACCTAAAAAAAAAAGTCGTCAAAATTTTCGAAAATTTTTTGAAAATCCGCCTCCCCCCTCGAGAAAATCCTAGATCCGCCCCTGACTCACACTTATCAATAACTCACACTAATCACTCATACTCATCAATAACTTTTTCGTTTATATTTTCTAATATTTCATGATTAATTTTTACTACGTTCATTCAAAAAAGTATTCAATCACATAAAATAACCATCCTAAAGATTATGAAAATTGGCATTCTCACAAATGATTTGAGATTCTTCATGCTTTTTGAAACTGCGACGTTAGAAAAATTAAAATAAAACATTAAAAAGCGAGAATTTTTCTATCCAGAAACAAATCTTAATTTATTGCAAATCGGGCTCGTCAATGTATAAACAACAGAACAATTTTTGTGGAGATACACTATAATATTCTTATATGATTGATCAGGGGCGGATCTAGGATTTTCTCGAGGGGGGGGCGGATTTTCGAAAAATTATCCAAAATTTTGCCGACATTTTTTTTTTCAGTCAAAAAAGCCGTTTTTGGGCACTTTTTGAAAAATTTTGACAAAAAAAATGTGTTTTTTTTTAGGCGCGCGCTCCCCCTCAAAGTTAGTATATATTGGCGCCGAAGGCTCCTTTAGAAAAATGTTAGGGTCGGTCCGCCAAAAATGGATTTCTGAAAAAGTATCAAAGGGGGGACCCTTTGGGTCGGCAGGGGGTCGAATCCCTGAGAGGAGGGCGTCCGCCCCCCCGCCCCCCCCCCCTAAATCCGCCCCTGTGATTGATTATTATTCATGAAAACCCAGACCCAAAACAAACTATAAGTGATTCAAATCACAAATTGAAACTTCCATAGAGTAGCTTAGATCATATGCAGTCGGAGCGATCTAAAATTTTTACTAAATTTCTGAGCAAGTTTGGTTCAAAATGATTCTTGCAATTGGGCTATCAGAGAATAAAAACCTAAATTTGCGTTTGTTTTGTCCACTAGTCGAGTCAGAGCTCGTTGTCACATACTACCAGTACCTTAGTAGGAGTTCTAACTATCGATCTGGCGTTCTGACAGCGGACACCTTACCAAATTCCTCCTAATTTGCGTTTGATTTTATCCACTATTGTAGATCTCAATTTCCAACTAAAGTTGTCTTATACATTTCGAAGAAAAAGTTTACATTACCCAGAAGAATTGGTTTACGATCAAAAAATGAGCTCTGCAGTTTTTTTTGCCGTTTTGTTTGGAGTCACAGCTGCGACTTGTTTAATGCTTGAGATATCAGCGCAGGCGGCATCGGATGATACCTACAGGGGCTCTGATGAGGACTTGCACAAGCGGAGGCAGGGCAAATTCACGCCAAAATTGCAAAACAGAAAAATCTTTAATAGTTTTTGTTGTATGACTCCTTGGTTTTTCTAAAATATTTTTGTTGAATGTGGCTTCTCGTTTTGTTTCCTTTTATTTTTAGTAAGAATTATGGAAATAAAATAAATATATTAGAATTTTAAAATCTTATAGGATAAAAAAAATCAATATAGGCACAGTTTTTGGTGACACTGATTGAAATATTATATAAACGACACTAAAAGGCTCACGAAATTGTTGTAATTTAGTTAAATAAGATATGTGCGCGTGAATTTGACAGAATAATGAGGAATTACGGGGCCATGATGGGCTACAAAAGAGATTCAGAGGAGTACCCAGTGGAAGTTGAAGACAACGAGGCAGGGGAAGACGTGGAAGACGAAGATAAGAAGACAGGAGGGCTGTCTAGTTTGGACGAGTGAATAGTTCAGTGATTTTCTTTCCCTCATTAGCACACACTTTTATTTAACTCCAATAACATTTGGATGGACAAAATGTTTTTATAGCAATCTTTGTTGACTGCAAATTTGAAAATTTAAAACCTTTTTGTTTCAACCGAAAGATTTAAAATGAATCATGGGTCGTTTCATTAAAAAAATTAAAATGAAACCTCCACAAAAAAGTGGACCGAAACAACAATTTTTTAAGCCAAAGACAATTCCTAATTTAAACTTTAGCGCAAATTGCGCTCGTCAAAGTGTAAAAAGTTTTCTTATATATTTAATTTTTTTTTCATGGTACTCCAGTGCGGGATAGCCTGTAAGTGGTTTACGGAAGCAAGAATTGAAAAAAAAACGAAACATAGAATACCCGGGTTGACCAAAATGTGCAACCATACGTCGCACCATGCATGGTTCCATGGAAGCCATGAAAAATTGCCGACGTATTTTTATGTTAAAATAACACATTTTCCATGCATGACGCGACGTATGATTCCACATTTTTTAAAGTATGGGGACTTCAAATTAAACAATATTGATACTTTTACTAGGGATGTTGATAATTTACATGTCACCATGGAAGCTTGCAATGTATGGTTACTATGGTATCATGCATGGCGCGACGTATAGTTACTATGGTACCATGCATGGCGCGACGTATGGATACCATGGAAACATATATGATGGCGCTACATATGATTAACAAAGAACCATATTTGGCGCGACATAGAAACTGAATTATCAAATAAATGCAATATTCTCGTGGGCATCCAAAAAGTGCTCTGAACGGCCTCAAAGACGTTGGTAGTAAAAAATCTTTTTCCGCCGTTCAGAGCAAAATTTTGGTTCCCAAGCAAAGCACATTATTATCCGATGTAGAAAATTTTACCTGATAACGCCGGAAAACATACCTGGTGATGGCTGACTAACTTTCACAAAACTGTCTAAAACAAAACAAGCATTTCAGAAAACTGAAAGATTATCAACACATAAAATAAAATAATTATATGTACATTATTGAAGAAATAAAATGTACCTGTATGGTCGAGCTCTTTTCGAATAAAAGAAATCAATTTAATTCATTATAATAGATTCTAATGGATTATGCATCATAATGGATTATAATGGATCATATTTGCTTATAATGAACGTATGTCGTATGTTAGTATAATGGACGTATGTCGTATAATGGCGTATGTTAGATTTTTTATGATAAAGAGCCTTGAAAGTAAATATTCAGAACTTGAACCTTGTAATTGCTAAACTGTGTTTTACACTTAGCTTCAGCAAAAAAGTTGTATCGTTTTCTACTTGTTTTTTTTGTTTTTTTTTACTTGTCTCCCCTTCCCCCTCAATAATAAATTTAATTAAATTTATTAATACTACACCTACTCCCCCCACTCACACACAACTTCATCCCCCTACAGAACTTTACGCCCCCAAGAATTACGGAGGTTGTCAAGTGGTTGTGGGAGGGGAGAGGGTAGGTGTGTGTGTGTGTGTGTGTGTGTGTGTGTGGTAGGTATGGAGGCAGGGTAGGTGAGAGTAAGTCGGGGATGGCGTAGGCGGACGTGGGATAGGTGGGGGTTGGTAAGGTGGGGGTGGGCAAAAGGAGGAGGTGGGGGATAGGTGGAGGTACCCGCAATGAAGTTCTATGGTTCAAAATTGATTATGGGTTTTCATGGTCTGTCTCCACAAAACTCTAAACTAATCGATTATAAGGGATTAATAATTGCTTATAAACCTAAACATATGCAGTATAATTTCAAAACTTGAACGCAGCAATCGTTAAAAAGAGACTCACATTTGGCTCGTAAATTTTGTTTTCCTTTTTTTGTTTTTTTAACAATTTTTTGCTCAATATTTTCTTTTTGGGTTATTGCCGCCCCTCGCTCATTTTCCCCCCACAAACGCCTACCAATCTTACTTCCTACTCTTGCCACGCATATTGCTCCCTTTTTACACGTTTAACTCAACCCCTATCTCGCCACCTATTCCATATACCCAAACGTCCAACCCTCAAGCCCCCCACTCCAAACCACCAACCCTGGTTGGGGGAGCTTGATTAGAGTTCCGGATGGCAGGGGGTAAGCTGGGGGAGGGAGGTTAACTGGTGGGGTGTTTTGAAGGGGTAAACATGAAAAAAGAAAAAGAATGGTGAGGTGATTAAGCAAGCGTTATAATGATGAGTAGTTTTAGAACTCGAAAATGCCGTAATTACGGTAGAAAATGTTGCCAATTTTATAAATAATTTGAAAAAGTAAAAATTTTGTACAGATTATAATCTATTATAACTCATAATAATGGATTTAATAGATTAATTTTTGAAAAAAATGGATTATAATCGACTGCGTGTTCAAAAAGTGTAAATATAATAGATTATAATGGCAACATTTTTACCACGAAATTAAATCGATTTTAATCGAATTTTATCTTTGGAACTTCACTGCGGGAAAGTTGATGGGAAAGGGAACAATAATTCGATTTTTGCAAACGCTTTCATCTTTGTATTGGAAGAAGCAAAATCGAACCCTAAAGACCACAACCGGAATGAGCACATTGGCTGATGGGACATTCTGAAACCATAAAATAACTAGGAGCTTGTAGTCGTTCGGTTCGCTGGAATGGAAAAAATCGATTTTCGGAACTATTCGAATTCCGTGAGCACTGGTAGAAACAAATTTGATGCTTATGGACCTCTTGTCGCTAAAACAATCTCATAAAGACAATGAATTCAACATTTTATATGATATAATTGGGGCTACTTATTACAAAAACATATGAACAGAAGTTCTAAGAAAATGGATTGGGTTGTTTCAGCAAAATCCTACCCTTCCCTAAAAAAAATTATCAGCTTGTAATTTAATTTTAAAAAATATACTAATTACCTTTCCTGAAAATGTTCTAGGAAAACTTGTATGCCAGAGTTATTTGTAAGAATGCTTTGCACAACGCATTCTTAGGCGCTTTAATAAAACGCGCGCATTTATTATCGCGATTTGACCAAATTGACATTTTTCGAAACTTAATATTTGAAAAAAAAAGGATCGCATGCATACCATCCCTTCATGTTTAATACTCAATTTTTCAATATTTTAAGCTGATTCTTAAAATTGGTCATATATTGAAATTTTAAACAATCAATCCGATCACAATACTATTTGGAATAGTAACTGTTTTATATGATTCTAACAAATCATCTAAATAGCTTACATGAGTATCAATCAGTTATATAAATCTGATGAAGCGGTGCAGCTTTTCATCTGCTTCAGCTTCACATCAAATTTATTGAATGTTCAACTTATTTTACTTGATTGAAAAACTAGCCCTATGATCAATAACGGCTCTGTAAAAAGTCTGGCTTGGGCATGCAGCAAAATTTGAAGCTACCCGGGCTGAGGTGTTAGGTTAGATTTTCGTCGCAAATTAAGACGGTCGAACGAACACATAGTCAAACGAAGTCGAATCATGAGTCGAACAGGGTCGATAGAGTGGAACACCGTCGAATCATGAGTCGAACAGGGTCGAATCATGAGTCGAACAGGATCGAATCATGGGTCGAACAGGGTCAAACGACCCATGAGTCGAACAGGGTTGAATCATGAATCGAACAGGGTCAAATCATGAGTCGAATACGGTTGAATCATGGGTCGAGCAGGGTCGAATTAAGAGTCAAACACGGTCGAGTCATGGGTCGAACAAGGTCGAATTATGAGTCGAACAGGGTCATCTGCTTCAGCTTCACATCAAATTTATTAAATGTTCAACATATTTTACTTGATTGAAAAACTAACCATAAGATCAATATCGGCTCTGTGAAAAAACTGGCTTGGGCGTGCAGCTAAATTCGAAGCTACCCAGGCTGAGGTGTTAGGTCCGATTTTCGTCGCAAGTTAAGACGGTCAAACGAACACTATAGTCGAACAAAGTCGAATCATGGGTCAAACAGGGTCGAATCATGAGTCGAACAGGGTCGATAGAGTCGAACAGGGTCGAATTATGAGTCAAACAGGGTAGAATCATGAGTCGAACAGGGTCAAATCATGAGTCTAACAGGGTCGAATTAAGAGTCGAACAGGGTGGAATCATGGGTCGAACAGGGTCGAATCATGAGTCGAACAGGGTCGAATCATGAAACGAGCACGGTCGAATCATGGGTCGAACAGGGACGAGTGAACCATGAGTCGAACAGGGTCGAATCAGGAATCGAACAGGGTCAAATCATGAGTCGAACACGGTCGAATCATAGTTCGAGCAGGGTCGAATTAGGAGTCAAACACAGTCGAATCATGGGTCGAACAAGGTCGAATTATGAGTCGAACAGGGTCATCTGCTTCAGCTTCACATCAAATTTTTTAAATGTTCAACATAATTTACTTGATTGAAAAACTAACCCTAAGATCAATATTGGCTCTGTGAAAAGTTTGGCTTGGGTGTGCAGCAAAAGTCGGAGCTACCCAGGCTGAGCTGTTAGGTCCGATTTTCGTCGCAAATTAAGACGGTCGAACGAACACTATAGTGGAACAAAGTCGAATCATGGGTCGAACAGGGTCGAATCGTGAGTCGAACAGGGTCGATAGAGTCGAACAGGGTCAAATTTTTAGTCGAACATGGTCGAATCAAGCTTCGAACAGGGTCGGATCATGAGTCCAACAGGGTCGAATCATGAGTCGAAAAGGATCGAATCATGGGTCGAACAGGGTCGAATCAGGAGTCGAACAGGGTCGAACCATAAGTCAAACAGGGTCGAATCATGAAACGAACACGGTCGAACCATGGGTCGAACAAATTCGAACGAACCTTGAGTTGAAAAGAATCGAATCATGAATCGAACAGGGTCGAATCATGAGTCGAACACGGTCGAATCATGGGTCGAGCAGGGTCGAATTAAGTGTCAAAAACGGTCGAATCATGGGTCGAACAGGGTCGAATCATGAGTCGAACAGGGTCGATAGAGTCGAACACCGTCGAATCATGAGTCGGACAGGGTCAAATCATGAGTCGAAAAGGATCGAATCATGGGTCGAACAGGGTCGAATATAAGTCAAACAGGGTTGAATCATGAAACTAACACGGTCGAATCATGGAACGAACAGGGTCAAACG